AGCAGTCCACTCCATTCAAAAAGCTTCCAACCAAGGTGTTTTTAGATGGTCTCTTGCTAAACTTTCAGGTAGTGATTTCATGGGTAGAGTCACAAGGGTCCTCCTAATGGGTAGTTTCCCCACTGCCACCAACAGCAGTACTTTGTACAAGACTAAATAGGGACACTCCAGAAGTCTTGGTTTAGTGGGGTGGATTAATAGAAAAAAGATGCATCATGGGAAGCATTGTGATAATTTCAAGACAAGTTTACAAATTTCAAGCTTGAGGATAAGCTTGATACTCCGGAGGGGAGTACTGATGTATTTGGGGGCAGAGTTATTCACGCCAGAGCAGACCACAAAAGGGAAGCCTTAACATGGGAGAAAGCTATGATGAAGTCATAATTTAACTACAATTACAGAGTTTGGGTAGATTACAAATCGTTACATAGTACTTAGTATACTAGTCTTTCAATTACGTTAGAATCGTTGTACTGTCCTAAATAAGGGGCAGTTCATTACATCAAATAGGAGGTAGAAATGTAATCCCAATCTAAGGGACACGGGAGTTTTGGTTCTCAAGCAAACCCGACGTTATTTTCCCTTCTGTTCTTTGTTCATTCTTTTCCTCATTCTTGTGCTCGTGACAGAGCCCTTATCAGTATCTAGACTAAAAATCCCTTTTTGGCTATTTCTTTACCCCTCTTTACCAAGTTGATTTGTTTGTTTTTTTTTTTTTTTTTTGCTGCATTTACTTGTTGAACTTTTGGGAAATATTATGTACTCATTATGTGAAATAATAGTATCCCTGCTTCAAATGTGTTGGTTCCGTTAACTTTATGTTATGCTCTGTGCTAATAGTTTCTTGAGGTTATGCCTCTTAAAACTCTGCTCTTTTGAGTGTTTCATAGTCAGCAATCTGTAACCTTCTGATAGAGTCATAGTGCTCATTTTGTGCAGATATAGAGCCATTACAAGCTGTCCTTGATCTGGAAGAAGGATTCTGTAAAGCTTTATTGTGCCGCTTACGCTTTCGTAAGGTCTTATTCTCTGTTTTCTTTTTCTACTTCTTCTTTGTGTTAGATCCCATATATTACCTGAGGCCTTGATTGTCATCCTGTGAATTCACGGAGTACGAAATTAATGAACATGCTTCCTTTTTGTTAGGTTTGGTTTAGTGCTATTATAGAAGATTGATAATGATGACCAGGCTGATACATTCTTCATTGAATTAGAAGCTTTTTCATCTTACTTTCATTGATTTGGTAACACAATCTTTAAACTAGTTGATTTTGAATATGAAATGTTAATGAAATATGAAGGAAAGAAAATCAGCTGTATGGCCAGTTGCTCTAGCTATAATGATATTAACAATGCAAATAACATTGGGAATAATGGAATATACATTTTTGTGAAAAGACCACATTTTTCCTTGGTAACAATTCCTGTATGTGCTCTGTGGTTTCAGCACTTCTACCATGTTTTGACAAATATGAAGAGACCTCAAGGCAGAGGCTTTGAATTGGCAAAGAAACATATTGCTTCTTGCTTACAAGAGATAGATTCCATGCTTAAAATGGAAGGATTCCTGAGTTTGAACAATGCATATGAGATGCCTGAAGATGCAATAGAAGATAAAACAACTGCCTCTGGCTGTGCACCTATTGGATTTGATTCTACTTTAAACAGTAGATTATCAGCTCCAGCTCCACCTCGTGCAATTAAGATTCTCAGCTGGAAAAAGGTGAATGTAAACAAATTCAAAAATCTTTTTGGTTGATTTATTTAACTTATCCCTTTGAAAGATGTTTTTCCTTCCATTAGGCAATTGATTACTTCAGAAAGCTTCTTAATGAGCTAAATGCTATATGCTCCCACAATTTGGATCCAGTGTTTGAAGGTGTTTTGCACTTCATAGTCGAGTTTCAAAAGTTGCAACCTGAACTAGTTGCTAGAGCTCATCTCCAGGTCAGTTTCATGACTTCATCATTCCCTGAGGAACATTGTTGTTTGTTTGAATTTTTTATTTTTTTTCATTCAAGAATATTTATAACTTTTATGACATATTTCATCTGAAGGCTGTCTTCTTTTGCTATCTTTGTCTACATTATTTGTTGGTTTTTTCTTTCTTATCAAGACAGTTTTAGCATGTTACTCACACCTTGTACTTTGAAGGAAATAAACAATCTTGTTGCAGAAAATATCTTTCAGTTCATTGCAAAATGTTCCATTTGAGTTTTAGAGTTTAGCTGGGGCATCATTTATTGGTTTAGCCTGGGTGTGGAGCTGGTAATAGAATTGGGAATGAAGTTAGTTGAGGTCTATAAAGTTGTGATTTAGTTTGTGCAAGTTTGCATCATACTGATGGTGAAGAGATCATGCAGATAATTCTTGTGCTCTTGCATCTCGGTGTGTATGATGTTTGATAAATTTTCAGATTATCTTTTCAGGAAAAACCATCATTAGAGTGTGTTAGTAAGTGAAGTTGGGCAAGTTTTTATTGGTCAAGAAACCATTCAAGTGCCAAGTTTACTTTTATGTTTTTCTATATTTTGGGTTTTTACTAATTCCGTACTCAAGGTTTTCTGGATTTGTTATGAGCTGTGCTTTTTTCTTTTCTTAATTTTAAATGCTATAAACTCTTCTATTGACACTTCCATGGTGGAGAACTGGAGATATCTAAAATCCTATTTAAGGTTTACATAATTATGTATCAAAGTAGTTTCTTGAAGATATGTGCATCTTTTGAACATGATTGAGTGCCCATGAGTGTGTCAGAATGTGTGTGTGTTACTAGTCTGAGTGTTTAATTTTTGAGAAAATATTTGACACTGTTGATGAACAGATGCTATATCCAATGATGCACCAGAACTTCACTATTGATTGAGTCCCTTTTTGCAAAAAGTAATACTCCGTAATCTTTAATATTAATTACATTTAATTATTTAAAATAAATCTTATTTAATTTAGAAAACTCCTAACCTAATTAATCTGCATAGACTAAAGCAGAATATCTAATTTATTCAATCTTCACCATGACTCTGTCTTTTGTTGTTGCAACTTGCTTTAAAGCTTTAAATTAAGCAAAATGCCAGAAGTCATCTCCTATTCAAGCTTTAAAGCTTTATGATCTGGAATTTTTATCTAATGTCACAATCTATTATCTTCATACATGTAGCTATTTACTAGCCATTACTGTAGCCTTGCTTTAGTGTTACATGTTCCAGAAAGTAAATATATTTGGATTCTCTCATTCTCATGCTACAATGTAAATAACAGCATTTGCTAATTCAAGATGGGAAACTCTATGGACGTGATCCTCTCTTTGCTGTGATCTGTAAAGCAGCTTTATTACCTCCAGCTGCTAAGGACCATGATATCCAAAAGAATGAAACTTTCTCCCAACTTGGGCAGGTAAATATGTGATTCTTGAGAGTTGAGACACTCCTAAAACTTCCTTTTAGATTCTATCTTTTAATAATTGACCTGTCTTGCAGTTATTGATAACTTTGTTAAGGGTTCTTTGTACAAATCTTGCATGGCAAAGACGTAAACTTGGGAAAATTTTACAAGATTGGCGTATCATATATGTACAGGTTGAACAATTTTGTCCTTGAAATATACTAGTGTCTTGCCACTTGTTGATTCTCTGCTCCTTTTCTTTTTACATTTTCATTATATCCATAATACTTCTGCATTTTTTGTTTCATCAAGTAATTTTCCCTTTTCAATAGCATTCTTTGATTACATTGGATATCATCTTTTTGCTAAGATTACGATGACTAAGATATTAATAACATCTTAACCAAATGGAATTGTCTGTTGTTAAAACTTAAAAGTATGTAAATAATATGAAATAAGTATTTGTCAATTTGTTGCATTGAGGAGTAGATGAAAAATGGAGGGTAATACATACTCTTTTTCCTCCTGGGAAAATACAGTGTGCATCCTTTTCAGTGTGAGTATTTGTTCTTTAAGAGCTTAAAGAAATTGTATTTGGTGGAAACATTTCTCAGAATCCTGTAGGAAAAGTACATCTTAACTTGTGCACTTGGTTTCTTGAAAAGTTCATCGTTCAGAGGCTAAGGGCTATTTAGTTCCAAAAACTGTTTTACATTTCCAATTTTTTGAAAAATTTCTAGTTATCATTTCTCATCTGCTATCTTCTTTTAAAATGCTTTGAAAAATTTCTAGTTTTCAATTGCTTTCTTCTTTTAAAATGCCACATGTATGGTAAATAACAATGTTATGGTGGCCATGGGAGTAGGCAGGTTGTGATAGGGGTGAAGATAGACAAGTAGTAGTGCCGGTATGTAGGCAAAGATGGTAATGGAGGTAATGGTGGTGGTTGGACAGTAGGTAGGTGGTGATGGGGTGTAGGTTGGTGGCACGAGGGTAGGTAACTAGTGGTGGGTAGGTATGTAGTGGAGGGGTAAGTATGTAGTGGAGGGGTAAGTAGGTCAGTGGGTGGGTGGGAATTTGGGAAGGTTGAAAGCTCATAGGTAAGGGTGATGGTGATTATAAGTGATGTATGTTTTTGTATTTAAAAAGTATTTAAACAATTGTTTTTCAATTTTTTTTGTTAAGATAGAGAAGAGTGTGTTTTCCATTCTCTTTGTTAATTTGGAAAATAGTTGATTTTGAACAGAAAAATTGTTTTTCATTTTTCTAGAAAATTAAAGAATTCTATAATTACTAAATAGGCCCCAACATTTCCACAAGTTTTATTGACATACAAGAAATATGTGAGCTTCGTACTTTAAGTGGTCCTTTGAGAGAGTGCCCAAGTTTCTTTTAGGGGTAGAACAAAGGTGGGGTTGGGAATGGTCCTTGACCCATGTTCAAAAGTTCAGAGAAGTACCTCAATGTATTCTGGAAGCTCAATGTGTATCCCTCGAAGTGAATACACCACCTTATAAATACATGCTAGAGGACTTATAGTAAGGAAACAAGTTTCCATATACCTACCCACTCAAATCCCTAATCTCCAGGCTTCCTAATATGTAAAGGTTCCATATTACTTGTATATTCCATAACACCCCCCTTAAGTTGGAGCATAGATATTAATCATGCCCAACTCGTTACACAAATAACTAACTCAGGTCCTAGTTAGGGCCTTTGTGAATAGGTCCCCGAGTTGTTCTTCGGTCTTCACAAATCCGGTGGAGATTAACCCTTGTATCTTTTCACGAGTGAAGTGGTAGTCGATCTCTATGTGCTTGGTTCGTTCATGAAACACCGGGTTTGATGCAATATGAAGAGCAACTTGATGATCACACCGTAGTTTTGAAGGAATCGGAGCTTTGAAACTAGACTCATTCAAGAGGTTGTTTATCCACATCACTTCACACGTTGATTGTGCTACGCTCTATATTTAGACTTTGCACTCGAACAAGAAACCACATTTTGCTTTTTACTCTTCCACGAAATCAGATTACCTCTAAAGAAAACACAATATCCGATTGTTGATCTACGATCCTCTTTGGATCTTGCCCAATCAGCATCAGTGAAACACTCAATCTTAGTGTGACCATGATTCTTATACAGAATTCCATGTCCTAGGGCTCCATTCAAGTATATGTACATATATGTATATACCCAAATTTTTTATATTTACAAATTTACCTAAATATATATACTAAATCTCTAATTTCCTAACCCAAATTTTCACAATTGTTCTTTGTTCCCAATTTTTCTTTGCGAGTCTGTGACGTTGATGTTGGACGGCAAACACGGATGAAGATGTCGCTTCGGTTTGGACTTATTTTAGTTTAAGAAATTTGAAATATGCATTGTGGACTTCTTGTTTAGGTTTTTCAAATTTAAATTATTAGTGAAAATAAATAAATAGTTATATGTGTTAGAGAACTAGGGAATGTTTGAGTCTTCAAACCGAACCGAACAAAACCAAATCCGATCCGAAACTGTTATTTCAAACCGAATCGAAACCAAACCGAAATAAAATTTGAAACCGAATGGTTTCATTTTTTAAAAATTGAAAAAATTGAAACCAAATTGAACCCGAAAAAAACTGAATCGAAAATCGAAATGCCCACCCCTATATGTAGACCACTGACTAGATGATGCTTGTTTTGGACCACTTGTAAACCATGGAGTGATCCGATTTGCCTTTCACCATCCCAAAGCTTGCAACAACTTGACTAAATTTCCCAAACCATGCATGTGGATTATGTTTTAGCCCATATAAGGACCGACGAAGTCGGCATACTTTCCCAGACTCCCCTTGAGCAACAAACCCAAGAGGTTGCTCCATGTACACCTCTTCATGAATATCCCCATGCAAAAAAGGATTCTTGATATCAAGTTGATGTAGAGGCCAATCATGATTGGCGGCCATTGAAATGAGTAACCTGATAGAAGTAAGCTTAGCCACAAGAGAAAAAGTGTCTGAATAATCGACTCCATAAGTTTGGGCATCTCTTAGCCGCAAGACTGGCTTTTAGTCGAGCAAGACCCATCAGAATTAACCTTGACGGTAAACACCCATTTACAACCAATAGGCCTTTTACTTGCAGGCATGGTCGTCGGATGCCGGCAATCCTCCCTAGGTGGGCGGTGACGGTAGCAGAGTGAAAAAAGAAATCCTTCCTTTATCGTAAAGGCTCTGATACCATGTTCGAAAGTTCAGAGAAGTACCTCAATGTATTCTGGAAATCTTGAATATTAGGAAATCATTGTTGAATATTAGGAAACTCCTAGTAGGAGTGGGCTTAGTTTCCTATTCCTATTAGGCTTGATTTAGTCCCCATGTTTCTATAAATATAGGATCCTTATATAGATAGAAGTATAGAGTATACAGAAAGACAATCTATTGTTATCTTTTCTTTCATTATAAATATTTATAATACATTCTTTTTGTTCTCTTTTTCTTTGCTTTCTCACATATTTTGCTTTCGCCTAACTGGCAAGTGGTTGTTATTCTCCACCCGCCAAACCTTTCAATCCCTCAATTTCAACATGGTATCAGAGCCTATTTTCCTAGGCTATTTTTCTTCCAATTTTTCCAGCAACACCAATTTTTCGGCATAAACATGAACCTGCGATTGTCTCTTGGATTACGACGTGTCTATGATGGTTTAGTTCAAGATCTACCACCACACTCACACTCGAAATCACGTCACGACCTTGCCTAAGAAATGCCAGTGTCATCTGTCGCAGCATGCTCCCACGCCCACACGTGGCATCACAATTGCCTGATCTCCGTTTGGATTTTCTCAAATCTCTTCTTCTTCGGTGATTTTGTAATCTCACCTCCTACACTGTTGGATTCCTATCCTCTTTGCGACCTTATCTGGAAAATTTCATCGTCATCCTGCATTGTCTCCGGCGTCATGCGCCGGCGCGTGAGTTCTCCTATGATGTATTTTTCCGGTGAAAATTTTGTAGATTGTTTTTTTTTCCCTTCTTTGGACCTTTTCTGGTGAAATTTGAAGGTTTTTTGGGTTTGGTGCCAAACTTCTTTCCAGTGTGCTTTGGCATAACCGTGTTTGGTCAAGGAGCATATTTAAATTTTAAATCTAGATAATTTGACAAAGGAACTGGCTGTTTATTCTCAAGCTTTAAACTGGAATGCTTGATTAGGTTTTGAAGTACAATCTATATTTATTAACGCCAAACACTTGTACATTGCCTTCTGTGTTTATTTATTGCCTTAAAAGAAAGATGGTTTAGAAACAAGTCAGCTAGAGACCAAAAGAAAGCGATTGTACAAAGAAAAGATTTGCATAGGAAAAGTCTTTTTAAATTCCACATCCTAACATCTCATATAGTCATATATATTTCTGGGTTTTTATTTGTAGATGCACCTATTGAAATTGAAGTTATTTAGTTTTGATGCCTTTGTATCTGAACTTGATATAGTCCATTTGTGAGACCTTGTCCAATTTATTGATTTAATTTGTCGAACAGCTAGAACTGGCTTTCAGAAAGGAGTTTGGAGAAACTTCTAGTAATTTATCAGATGAGGTAAATATCCTACCAATTTAATAAATTAGTTTTCAAGTCTTTGAATTATCTTGATTATTCTTTTATATTACTCTATAAATTGGAAATCTCTACGTAACATAATAAAGAAAATTTCTGAAAATGCAAAAGAAAAAAGACGCCAGTTCATCTTTGTATTCTTGTGCATCTTGCAATTCTTTTACCATTTGGTTGTACAAATGTCAAATACCATTATCATAGTGTCTTGTCTTACTCTTATGTCCTTGAATGAAGTCTGTGAATGGATTTTGCATGCACTTAGGATATTTTACATGGTTGCTGTGTAAATTTAACCAGAAATCTCAGTTATCTTAAAAGTTAAATCCTGTACGCTTGAAATGGGAATGAGAAGGAGGTTCGGAGAAAAATGATTTGTGCTTTTAATATTTCTACCTCCCCAGTTGTCTACTGTTCCATCTTTTGTGAAAAAATTTATAGATAAGGGGTTACCATTCTCTATCACGTGCGGCATATGAATATGAGTAGAGGACTATTCCACTTGGGCTAGATCTGTTCTGTTTTAGTAATTTCTAGAGGTGTGGCTGTGTTATGGCAGTGTATAGAATTGTGTAGAAAGTATGCGTTTTATTATATTTCCCAGTTTTGTTATGTTTCCCAGACAAAAATGAGGACATAATTGTGTTTTTATGTGTCCCATTATAGTAATGCTTCCCAGCATAAGATGAATATATAATGGCGTTTTTATGCCTCCCATTATAGTAATGTTTCCTACATTTTTATTGTATCCAACATACGTATCCAAAAAACAACCATAATATGTACTTTTGAAAGATTAGATGTGCATCATTGTTTTTTTGGTCTTCTGCAGAATATTTGCATGAAGATATTCAAGTACATTCTTGTGTGGATAGAGGAGCAAACATACTGGATAGCCTCCCGTTTCCTTGTATTGGGTTTTGATCTGGAACTATATTCTACTAGTGAGTATTGTATGGTGTATTGGTACATATATGTGATCCTAACCAAGCTTGCGGAAAAAACACACTTCAGATTGATGGCAAGCAATGAAAATGGTAATGTGCTGTTTCAGCTTTTCTTTCTATTTTACTACTTCCCTTCCCTTTTTTCTTGTGTGTTAAGCATGTGGGTTTGGCAGTCTGAGTTCATATCCTTGAGACACATCCCTTGGTAGGTAATTTGAGAAGAAATGTATATAATCACAGAAGTAAGCATTTGAGTAGGAATTGGAGGAGTTTTTATCATATCCAAAGGCTTCATTTGATGATTTTCACCATTGGTCTATATTGTAGCTAGAAAAGTTTTGTGCTTGAATGTCTACAAATCACAAGTGCATTTTTGGATACATTTTTATTCCCCCTTCAAGGAGGATAAGGGGAAAGGGAGAAACTATGGATTGTCTACAATACATATTTACCTCATGATACACTTAATCTTCAGTATCCAAAGACTAACCAGCAGACTCTAAACTTTATAAAGGCTCTTTTTAACCTCCTATTGATAAGGCATCTAAGGGCTGACACCCGTGTAATATCAATATCCTGTCCTATCTATACTGGTCTAATCTTTTACAAAATCAACCTCAGTTACAGACTCTTTAAGTCATCTAGGGACACCATGTTGACATTAGTGTGGGTATGGGATGTGTGCAGCAATGGACTGAAAGGGACTCTAAATTTGAGAGCTCAAGCCATGGGCATCTTTTGTTGGTCAAAGAATGTAACTTTAAAGTTTGAGATGTGGTGTGGGTAATATTTGATTTTGCTGGGCCTTGACTGGGTCAAATATTATGGACTTTTGGGGTCTTATTATTACATTTCTTTGGGATGTTATCTGGCATTACACGTCTCTTGAAGAGTCATGTCACCTGTTTTCACTTGTACATGCTCTATTTTTAACGAGATGGGATGTGCTTTTAAATACTAATTTGTTCAACAGGAGCTCCATTTTACTTTTCCCATTTCCAAATACCCATAGCCACTCCTCTAGCTGTTTCTCTGTATCTTTCCATTCAGATTTTGGTGCTCAGAGATGTTATTTATTTCTCATTTGATTAAGCTTTTTGATCAGTAAAGCGGAAAGGGAAGAAGAAGAAAGATTTGATGAAGGATGGGGCAAAAGATTACCCGTTTCCACCAGTTGTGTTATTTCTCCAGTGCCAGATATATATAGCTGAAGGTCTTACAATGGTAACAGACATTTGTTTTTCTCCTGTTTTTCCCTGTGGCTGTGAGGGAGAGAGAGAGACGGGTGGGGGTGGGGGATTTGTATTCTCTTAGACTTTTTGAGTAATGTCTTGGTTTTTCTCAGATGCTTGCAGCTTTGAGGAATGAACAGAAGATCTATCAGAATGTGGGACCTTTCAACACTGAGCATGAGGTATGCCATTTGTCATAGGTCATTTTGAACAAACTTTCATGCTAGATTTTGTTTTCCCTTACTGGAACCCCACCTAGATTATATTTTATTTTGTTTTCTTTTTATTTTCTTGCTCCAATCTAATTCATTTGCCAATTCCTCTGTTTGGACTAAAGTCTAAAACCCACCATTTCGCTCTATTCTGCAGTAAGGGAAATGATATCTGTCTGAGGATACCTTCTAGCAAATTGCATGTGGACTTTAACAATTTATGGCTCTAGTTTATAATAGATAGTTACATGTTGTTTACTGGTTAAACATTTTGTGCAGAGATTTATGCAGCACTTTGAGCTCCTACAGAAAGCCTGCCTTCCTAATCATATATCTTATTTTTCCTTCAAGGAAGCAACGGCTCATGCTCGCATATCTGTGAGTGAGACCTTTGGCAATAATATTGGATTTGTTCTTTTTGAGATTTACTTTGTAGCCTTTCCAGCTTACCCTGCTTTTTATTTTATAGACAGTATCCATGTATAACTTCTTCAAGGATGCTCAAAGAATCTCAAAAGAGCTAAGGACCAGTTTTTCTAATGATCCTATCAAAATGGCTGAACTTCGAAGCATAGAACAGGTGGCAGAACACAATGGTGTTGCTCTGAATCTTATCAGCCGGTTAGGTTCCCTTGACTCATCGCTCAAGATTTACTTTGAATTCAGCCACCATCCTTACTTTGCTACTGCTATTGTCAAGAGATCTTGATAAAATTTTTGCCATAGGTTCCTTTTTCTAATCCCCTTGAAAAAAAGGGTATTAGATGGAGATTTTTTTTTTTTTTTTAATTATTTTTTTCCCCATTAGCTGCTGTAACAGTAGGGCCCTCTTTTATTTTACTTTATTTTTAAATTTTTAAATGTTAAATTCCCCCTTTCCCCAATCTGTTTCCTTATTTTTGATCATTAGAGTGATGGATGTGATAATGTTATCTGCAATCAGAGAGAATATCCTCACTGATAATGTGCAACTTAGAATTTGCGGGATAATGTATCATAGATTGAGTTTTTCGTAAAAGAATTAATTAATAGAAGAGTCTTCTCTCTGTCCTTTTACAGATTATTCTTGAAATGCATTATATATATACATTTGGTCAATTTTAATGATTTCATGTTTCTTCCCAGTTTTGCATTAATATCATTTTTTTTTTTTTCCTTTTCTTTTTGAATTTGTGTACGATTTAGCAATGCATTTTGAAATCTTGCAGAAAGCATGATAATGGTGTAGGAATTATGAAGTTGCGTATATATTATGTGCATCCATCCTTGAACATAAACCAAAAAATGTTTTTGAAAAAATCTTTTTATGTTTTATTTTATTTGTCATGCTTAATATTTAATATTTGAGGTTCACTACTTTGTGTTTATGATTTTCAATGTAATTTTTAATTATACCATGCGATGTGCTAATTTTTCGTAAAAAGTATGAGTTAATACTCAAAATGGTTCTTAATTATAGTGATTTTTTGTCAATTTCATCCTAAACAACTTTAGTGACCTAATGTAGTTAAAGACTTTTGCGCTTTTGCTTAATTTAGTCTTTTATTTTTCTATTCCGTCAATTTAGTGTCAAATATACAATTTAGTAACCTCAATATTGACCTTTCTTTATTGTCAATCTTAGCATCGGCCAACTGGGGTGGCATTTCTGTCTGAACCATAGGGTCCTCGTCATCATGGAGTCAGGGGTGCCCCCATATCAAGGTAGAATTTCCATTCCCAATACGCCGTCGCACCCCACTACAAATTAAGCCCTTAGCAGCCATAATACTCCGCCAACAATAGTTAGGAGTATTTCCTAAACATGCTTCAGAAAAATAGGCTTTAGCGTAGTACCTAGCTTTATATACACGAGACACCAATGAGTCAGTGTTAGTAAGTAGTCTCCATGCCTGCTTACCCAATAGTGCCACATTAAATGCTCTCAGGTCTTTAAAGCCCAGGACACCATACTTTTTGGGGATGCATAATTTATCCCATGCCTTCCCGTGGATACCACGGTCAGTCCCTAATCCCCACCAATAACGATTCGTGAGTCGCTCAATAGCAGTGCACACAGATATAGGTAGTAAAAAAACACTCATCGAGAAAGTTGGCATAGCTTGAGCCACACTTTTCAACAAGATTTCTTTACCTACTTGCGATAACTACTTTTTATTCCAAGACCCAATCCTCTGTTTGATTTTATCCTCAATATAGGCAAAGACTGCTTTTTTATTCCTTCCAATAAATGAGGGTAAGCCAAAATACTTTCCAAAATTAGGGGCTTGAGCTACCTCCAGAATTTGTGCCACATCCCCTCGCACCACTTCACCTGTATTTTTGCTATAACATATACTGGATTTATGATAATTAACCACTTGCCCAGATAAGCTCTCATACATTGATAAACAACCCTTTATCTCAATGACCTCCTGTATTGTTGCTTTGAAAAATAACATACTATCATCAGCAAAGAATAAATGAGAGATAGGGGGAGAACCTCTAGCAACTCTGCATCCATGTATTAATCCCCTATTTTGTGCTTGCTGCAGTAACAGGGACAGACCTTCGGTATAGATAATAAAGAGATAGGGAGATAGAGGGTCACCGTGCCTTAAACCACGGGTGTGCATGACTGATTCGCTGCGAGTGCCATTAATCAGAAAAGTATATGATACTGTAGACACACATAGCATAATAAGTTCTATCCACCTGTCATCAAAACCCAGGGCTACAAGCATACCACGTAAGAAAGGCCACTCCACATGGTCATAGGCCTTAGCCATATCCAGTTTGAGGGCACTCCAACCTACAACCCCACACTGTTTCCTATTCAAATAGTGTCCCACCTCAGATGCTGTTAGGATATTATCAGTAATGAGCCTACTAGGTATAAAAGCACTCTGTGAGTCAGATATAATATTTTCCATCAAAGGCTTCATCGTGTGTGAGATCATCTTAGCCATAATCCTATAAATCACATTACTTAGGGAAATAGGTCTAAGATTAGAGACCAATTCTAGGTTATTTTTCTTGGGGATCAGTACCACATCAGTATCATTCAGACCAGTGGGGAAGGTGCGCGAGTTTAGACAATCAACAATAAATTTCGAAACATCCCTGCCTACAATATCCCAAAAATGGTGCTAGAATCCCGGATTCATACCATCGGGGCCAGGTGCTTTATCAGGAAACATTGCAAAAAGGGCATCTTTAACTTCATCTATCTCAAAGGGTCGTAAAAGTGATTCATTTTGTAACACCCCGTGTTACGACCTCTGAATCCAGACTAATATGGAATTAATTCCATTAACATATAATTAAAAAGGATTTAATTGGACTAGAATTCCCATTAATTAATTAGTGTGGTCAGCAATGGATCATGGACCCTTACCCGTAATCAAGTCTTTAATTCTGTTAGGAATAGAGAAAGTGGGCCTTTACTATTCAGATTTTAGTTAGGACTCCTGAATCTATATATAGGGAATTAGAAAGCATCTAGAAACCTTATCACAATTAATTCTACCACGCGAGGCATTCCCCGAGGAAACCTAGCAAAGGAACTCCCCACCGCCGAACCTAGGAAGATCAATTGGAGGAGAATCTTAGAGAAGAACTTTAGTAGCCAAGGATATTGATTAGGGCTAAGAGGTAACCCATGTCTTACAAAACCTATTTTCCTTGCTATATCTTGATTATTGGCTCCTTTGATAATTGTATGTGTGATTCTGTGATTGAGTCTTGATTGAGCCTTGCCTAGGATTTATATTGTGTTTATTTGATAATCTTGGTGATCTTGATGTTGTGAGTGGTTATATATGTAATCTTGTATTTAATTATGTCTAGAGCTTGTCCCTAGGGTTTATATCGTGAATCTGGTTGTTGTGTTGTTCTTGGTATTCTTGGGTGGGTTTATGCATGATCGGGTGTTGAGTCTAGCCTAAGACTTGTCTTTAGGGCTTTGCATATAAATTTATTGATGTTCTTGAGGTTCTAGATGCTCCTGAACTGTTATGTGATTGATGTCGAGTCTTGGCATGTTTAGGAATCGTGTTAAAACGTAATTGGAATGATTCTTGGTTTAATCTTCGTTAATTGAATCCGTGATGTTGTTGTTACATGTTAGAATGTGTTTGGACATGGTTTTGAGTTCCACGAACGAACCCTGAACCGGAAATTCTACCTTCGTACCAGTGTGGGGTAGGTGGTGGGGACTCCGCTGCCCGGCATGCCCAGTTCCAGCGGGCAGTGGCCTGCCCGCCGGGCACCCCTGGAACCGAGGCTGCCCACCGGCAGGTGGTCCACCACCCACCGCCCACCTGCTAGAAATTGTTGGTGTGGCGGGTTGTTTTTTCCGTTTGTTGTTTCCCTGTGTCCCGTTGTACCCCGTTCGACGTGTATGAGTCTCGTATGATGTTTTGAGTACCGTTCTAGGAATTTATGTGTAGTGCGTATCGTTGTTATTATGTCTTGATTGTTATTGTTGATTGAATGTTGATTGTTTGAATGGTGATGAGTGTTGTGGTCATTGCGCAATGATCGATGTGACTGATGATAATGAGATTGTGATTGGTGGAGATGAATTGTTGGCAGAAAGCACAACGAGTGCTCGGTTATCGTGCTAAAGGCACGGACCACCCCTTAGACTTGATGGGTAAAGGCTTGGGTCAGGGTATAAGCGCCGCGTTGTTATGTTAGAGATATATGCGCTGACCCCTTGGTATTGGTGCTAGAGGCACGGACCATGCGAATGACACTTCGGTGCTACCATGTTGGTGGACTTGTTGGTGGTTATGGACTAGTTGCTCCGGAGGAATAAGGGAGGCGATATAAGGGTGGCCTGGAGGTATAGGGTGGAACTGATATAAGGATGGAGAGGAGTAAATGTTGGAACTTGGTATAAGGTTGGAAGATGAATTGTGTGTTCTGATGACTATTTTCTAATTGATGATTATTGAGTCCCATTGCTCGCCTTTAATTGTTAATTAGGCGCTTGCCTGTTTATTATATCTTGCAAACATAGGAAGCATGTTAAGTGGCATTCGTGACGTTGATCCGTTTTTATAATCTAAGTCTCGATCTTGATTTGAAAGCTAGGGTTGCTTAAGACTATATATGTATTCCATTTTTAAAATGATTTCCTATATTTATATTTATTGTACCTAACGCGTAGGAGTGGGTTACTCAGCATTATTCGCTGACGGTTGCTACGATGTGTTTTTCAGGTGATGATCATTAGCTGGGGAGCGCGTTAGATGGACTTGTAGTCTTAGTCTAGTTAGTCTTAGCTATAGTGGTTGGCCTGCGTGCCATGGATTGTAATTGATTGTTGACATGTGGATTTTACTGGTTTGGATAGTCTTAGCCTGTGCATCTAGGTTCTCAAACCTAGGTGTGGCATAACACCCCGACTCATATGGATAGTCTATGCTTGGTTTGGATTATTATTATTAGTCTGCCTTTATTCTACAAGTCTCTTGATGCTTTAAAAATTAGGGGTGTTACACATTTTGTGCCTGGGTGACTCGTGGGGTAACATTATCAAATACAAGCTCACCATTCATAAGATTACTAGAGCAGAAGATTTTCCCAAAATAATCCAGAATAACCCCCTTCATATCTTCCCCTTCCACCCACTCCGCACAATAATTCATTAGTCTAGATAAAGTATTCTTAGTCTTTGGTGAGAGGCATACCTGTGATAGAATTTTGTGTTTGCATCAGCACCCTTAAGCCAGTGCTGCTTGGCCCTTTGCCTCCAATATACATTCTCCTGGGTTTCCATACTGTACAGAACCCCCTCAAGACGTTGGAATTCAGCCAGGGAGGCTGAATCAGTGCGTCCTCTCAGAAGTTGCTGTTCCCTACGGAGTTGCATGATTTTTTCACCAAACTTATGATAGCGGTCACCTCCCTAGTGGGCCAACCGATTCCCACAGTGCTCAATACAATTTCGTGTGCCCTGACTTCTCTCTTCCTCCCAAGATTTTGCCACCACAGCCCTGAATCCTTCATCATATAGCCAAGCCATTTCAAACTGAAATCTCCTCCTTCCCCCACCTCCTCTTATCCCCGGGTCGCGAATTGCTAGGAAGATGGCAGAATGATCAGACGTCCTCGTTACCAAATTAGATACCCTAGCCCCGGTTACAATACCACAGCACTCATTAGTAGCAAGCACTTTATCTAGTCTTTCCTCAATCCAGCCAGTTGTGCCCTTCCCCTTTTCCCAAGTAAACTGATATCCAGTCATAGGTAATTGAGCCAAACCACATTGATCAATAGTCTCCCCGAAACTGCGAAGGAGATTATCTGGATGTGGCTTACCCCCTCTCTTCTCGCGCTAGAATAAGCGATAATTAAAATCACCCACCATGACCCATGGTAGGCCAGATTATGGTGCCAATGACTTTAATAGTTCCCACGATTCCATTCTCCTTGACCGCTCTGGAAACCCATAATAAAAGGTCATCCACCACTTTGAAAAGCCAGCCATACTAACCTCCACATCAATATAATTCCTCGAATAACTAATTAGTCTTGCTGTATTATTTTTCCTCCATAACAATGCTAAACCACCGCTCAACCCAACATGATCAACATAGAAAAGACCATCAAAACCAAGCTTGACACGAATACGTTCAACATGTATTCGCCCCACCTTAGTTTCCATTAGAAAAACAAAATCAGGCTTCTTTTGGGACACAAGGTCCTCAATCTCGCGAACTGTTCGTGGATTTTCCAAGCCACGATAGTTCCAACTTAGAGTACTCATGATGATGGGTGGGTCCGGGAATCAAAACCCGCCAAGGACAAGTTTTTTGGCACTTCGGCCATCAGAATATCACCACTTTTACCATTCTGCATAGCATTGTCATTCGAGCCCTCCCTTCTTCGCTTCGAAGCTGCCACAACCGTATCACTAACCGTAGCCACCATGGTACCAGGAGCCGAAGATTCCGCTGTGACAGCGACCGCCATATTGGCTCGGACCGGATTGCCGTCTTTGTCAAGCAACCACGGTGCCCCTACTTTCTGTGGTCCTTTTTTTAGTCCCGCCCGCATCTCGTCACTAAACGGATATTAGTCAATAGGTATGACCGTATTTCGTGCTCTCAGACAATATTTATGCAAATGTCCCAACATCCCACAGAAAAAGCAGAAATTATGTAGCCTCTCATACCTGAAATTCACCCAGCAAGTCGTTTTGTCCCATTTCAGTAGTTTCATACGTCGCTTCAACGGTTTCAGCACAGGTAACGAAACCCTAATACGGTAAAAAGGCTTCCATGGAGCATTCGAGAATCTATCATCAATCTTAATAAACGTTCCCAGAAAATTTCCAATTTGTTGCAACATCATATCAGAAGTATATCCAAGAGGGATCGAGACCGGTATGGCCCTATCCGTAACTTGCCTGTAGACTAGGGTATGGTTCTCAAACGACCATGGTCCACCCATCAAGAACAAGTTGCATGTCAGTTTCATGATAGAGCACAAAAAGAAATAGACCTGTTTGAATCTCCGTGACCTGCACCCCCATCACCGGCTGCCTTATCGAAGCCATTACCTGACTCGTATACTCCACCTTAATAACCCTAGTCATCAAAAACCTTCCTACAAGCCGCCATGTTGAGCGTCCTACCCCGTGCCGTCGACGTCAATATCCTCGGCCAGTTCAAACACAGTTTCTTCGTCATCAAGAGCCATGTCCACCCACCGCGTACTCAGCCCAGCCACCACGCCATCTGTCGCCGCGGCGTCCATATGTTTGGGAGGAAGAGAAAGGGAAGCCGGACATTACCAGAGAGAATTCACCGAACGATGCTCGAAAACCTCGTCCGTGCAAGGAGGAAGCAAGAACTCTAGAGAAACCCTCACACATTCCGTTAGTATAAACGTTAGTATATATATATATATATATATATATATATATATATATATATATATATATATATATATATATATATATATATATATATATATATATATATATATATATATATATATATATATATATATATATATATATATATATATATATAACATACGATCTTAAAACTGGAAGGAACAACAATGTGCTCTGGAATGCTGAATAATATGCACTTCAAATGCACAACATTGTGTTCTGGAAGGCATAACATTGTGCTTTGCAAGAAATAAAAAAAATGCACCGAAAGACAAAAAAATGTTAACTTATTTACCAAAAGCAATGTGCACTAGAAGGCATATCACTGTGCTTTGAAAGGCATAACAATGTGCTATGCAATTGAAAAAAAAAAACTCTGAGAGACAAAAAAAAATTAACTTACACAAAATTACCATAATGCCACCACATTTTTTTTATTTAAATTATTTCATTCTGACTGTTGATCCGGACTGAATCATGGATGAGATTAAACACTATTTTTCACCTAAGGCTTCTTTCGTATATGATCTGTAATATATATATATATATATATATATATATATATATATATATATATATATATATATATATATGTGTGTGTGTGTGTGTGTGTGTGTGTGTGTGTGTGTGTGTGTGTGTGTGTGTGTGTGTGTGTGTGTGTGTGTGTGTGTGTGTGTGTGTGTGTGTGTTGGTTTTACGACTTAGGGTTGCCGCACGGCGGGCCAACACTACCGTAAAATACTAGGTGTTATAGAGGGAAGATAAATGAAGTTGAGAACGGGACAGAGTAATGAGATCTTATTCCAGAATTTCCCCCTTTACACGATGACCCCGAAGGGGGTATTTATATAAGGAGATAGATCATCTATAAGGTAAGTAGGGCAAAAGATTAACTAAATTTGGTTAAGAATTTATCATAATTAGTGCATTAACTGCTTAAACTGAGAAAAGGAAGCTATTTACTGAATAAGGAAAGGAATCTCCGCAGAATCAGTCCTTAACCGCCTTTGGAGCGCGCACTCGGTCGGGGACGCACCGACTACCTGGCTTGGGAGGCTAAGGCACTCAAGCAAACACTCCGACCGCCGAGCCTGGTCACCCGTCCGAATCTTTCTGAGGGCTTGGTTAGGGACACGCCGACTACTGAGCTTGGTCACCCACCTGAGCCAGCTGAAAACCCCCAACCTGGTGCATACCTGCTTGGTAGCCTGGTCTCCTGAGCCAGCCGAAAAGCCCCAACCAGGTGCATACTTGCTTGGTAGCCTGGTCTCCTGGGTGCTTGCGCCACTGGGGTTCTCTTGAGTTGCTAAGTGTTTTGCCTCAATCAGGTCTGACTACTCTTTATGCTCCTCAGGCTGAGTGCCTGATTTTGGGTATCTATCACCAGTCCCTCACTTTTTTTTTTGGTTTATGATAAGTGTTAAAATGTGCTACTTTTATGGGGTATTTGGGAGTCATATTTTGCTATAATTTGAGTCCTTTGAGCCTATTATATGCTTAGAATAACTTGTTTTGATTAAATTTAGGCACAAGGACTAATTGTGGTTACATTTGTGAAAAATAGCAAAACATTGACATTTTCAAGGCATTTCGGTGACAGTTCAGTCATTTGAGCATATCTGGAGCTAGGGATGTCCAAATGAAGTGATTCAAATGGCATTGGAACGAAAACGCAAAGGGATACAACTTTCATGAAGACCACAAAGACTGATTTGGACATCTAGGCAGTCATTTCCGGCCATGAACGTGTTAGGTTCCCATTCACGCTGGTGTTACGCAAGTGACAGCAGCGTGAATAGGTTCCCGAACCCATTCACGCCGGCGTCACGAACGTGATGACGGCGTGAATCGAAGGCCGAAAGTTTTTTGCCAGATTTCAGCTTTCAAAATGAGAAGCTTGGCGAGATTTTTGGGAAAATTTTTCATTTTTCTTATTTCTTAGCTTAGATTTGGAGAGACCTTTCTCTCTCTAGGGTAGGATTAGCTTAGATGCAACTAGCTATTCTTTGATCTTCAATTTCCAAGTGAGAGAGTGATCTTGCATTGTGGAAATTTGACAACTCTCCTAGATTGTGGATGAACTTCTCTCCATCTTCATGTAATTGAGATCCAATTGTTGAAACTAGTTTGGTAACTATCTCTTCCTTCATCTTTTAATTTCATGTATTAATCTTTCCATTCCATCTAATATAGTTGCTAGACTTGAATCTCTACAATTTTTATTTCAATTCATGAGGTGTAGCTAGACATTCTAGGAATTGGATTGGATTACATTGATTGTATGCATTTGTGTTCTTAAATTGATGAATTTATGAGATGATTGTAATGTATGCTTGTTATCTAGATGTTTTTGTTATGAATGAGTTGTGTATGGTTCGTCTCTTCATTGAAGGATCCTAATGAGGGAGGATTATAGTGGAATTGGCATGAGAATGTGATTCCATGTAGTCTCACTCATTTACAATCTCCGTCCTTTGATCCGAGAGGGCGAGGTTCGGGAGGAAGCGTAGGCTAGGTGTTTGCTAAAATGCCTTAGTCACACTAAGGTGTGTTTTAAGAGTCTAGGTATGTATCGGCCTAGAGTAGGCAAAGCGATCTCCCTTAAGTAGTCTTGCATTGCACCTTCTTGTCTACCTTAGTATACCAATTGCATAAGATTAATGTTTTCTATCCAATTCCCTGTTGTATTTGTATATTTTTGTTGTTGTATTTTTCTTGCTTGCTTCCTTGCGCACATGCTTCTACTCCGGTTCTTGTCCCCTAGTGCCTCTTGTTAAATCACTTCCATGGAAAGCATACACACTTTCCTTACACAAAGTTGTCATCCTTGTGAGATCGACATCCCCAGAATCTTCATTCCCAACCTTCTTTCCATCCACCGCTAAATTACAACTTTCAAAATGGCGCCATTGCCGGGGATGGCAAACGGTTGTTAAGTGAAGTGTTTACTTGCTTTCGTAGGAATTATTTTGACAAGAGTTCTAGGTTTTTCTTTTACTTTTGTTGATTCTTTCTCTTGTCTTGTACATATTTTGATTTGTGTTCTTGTCGTGTACCTTGTTGATTTTGTTGATTCATTTGTTTTTGTTGATTTCTTTCGTTTTGTACACAGTGAATAATTGTTGATTGTTGTGTACATATTTGTGTCTCGTTATTGGTTTGTGTCTTGTTGTTATTTTTCTCGTTTCGTACATATTTTGCATCAAGTGTAGTTGTTCTCTTTTGTTTGTACATTTTGTATCTTGTTGTGTTCTTTTTTTTTTTTTTCTTTTTATCTTGTGAAGTGTATCTTATGTTGGTTTGTTGTTTCCTTTTGTTGCGACGAAGGACATGTCTCACGCCGATCCCCTCTCCCCCTTTCTTTGTCTCCGCCAGAAACGAAGGAGGAGGGGGGCGGGAAAGGGTGGCCGGCGGCCACCCCGGTGTTCTCTTTTTTTTTTTTTTTTTTTTTTTTTTTTTTTTTTTTTTAAATTTAAAAAAAATTAGTTGTTATTTTTATTTTTAAAGTGTATTATTAAAAATAGGGGTGTCAATGCGGGCCGGCCCGTCTCATTAGGCCCGCCCCACCACGGGCTTTTTATTTGGCGGGTTTTTACGGGCCGGCCCACGAAGCCCGCGGGCTTGGAACTATACAGCCCAAGCCCGCCCCATGCGGGCTCGCGGGCTGGCTCGCGGGCCATCACTTAAATTAAAAAAAAAATATTAAACAGTATATAAACATGTTAAAACCGCTTGAATACATAAAACTAAGTTGTCCTCTCTCTACCTAGGGTTTCTTGGTTTTTTCCGGTCGCTTCTTTGACTATTCTCTACGGACGATTTCCGATAAGGGGAACAACTGTGGTTTGATCATTGCATGCGAGATGGCTTCAACGCTGACAGAACCGGAGGTCGCGGGTTTGACGGCCAGGTGGGCCGATATGGTGCTCCAGGAGGAAGCTACGGCGTTTCGGCCGGACGAAGGGGATGTTGTCGAGGAGGGGGGCGGCGAGGTGGAGGAGAGTTGGGGGGTGGTGGGAAGGTTCTTGACACGGAAGCTAGTCAGGTTGGAATTTATGAGTCAGGTCTTGGCATCAGTGTGGCAACCGGTGAGCGGGGTTGAGGCAACGGAGGTTCAGCCTGGTCGGTTCCTGTTTGTTTTTCATCATGTAACGGACATGGAACGAGTTCTGAACGAGGGTCCCTGGTCTTTTGATAATAGCACGCTGGTGTGTAAGCAGGTCCCTAACGGAGTTATGCCGGATGATGTGGTGCTGGATACGGTGGATTTATGGGTTCAGCTGCATGGACTGCCGAACGGATACTCATCTAGTAGGATTTTGGAGCAGATTGGAAATTTCTTGGGTACGTATGTGAAATATGATGATCGTTTCGATAACGCCCCGTGGAAGATGTATCATCGTATTAGGGTTTCGTTGTCTGTTGATAAACCCTTGAAAAGACGAATGAATTTTATTAAACGAGATAAGACGTGCTGCTGGGTCATGTTCAAGTACGAACGCCTTCATACTTATTGCTATTTCTGCGGGATGCTAGGGCATTCGTATCAGTTTTGTCGTGGGGCAAGGGACTCGAAGATGCCGGTGGAGGAGTATTTGTATGGCCCGGAGCTACGGGCAGGAGGGACCCGTGGCCCTAGGCTGGTGGGGGGCAGCTGGCTTTTGCCGACGGGCCGGCAGGCCGTGGGGCGGAAACCGCAGGTGGATTGGGCGGAGGTGGGGCGGTCTTCGGGAAGTGTGAACCGGACCGAGGGGGTGGTAGAGGGGGAGGTGGTGGCGGTTGCCAAACGGCGCCGGGGGGAGGTGGATGGTGAGGGACGGAGGTGCGAGGGAGAAGATATTGTCATGACCGAAATTCCAAAAAACTTGCAGCTGGCGGGTACTGGTTCCCAGACCCGCCCGGATCAATGAGTACTCTAAGTTGGAACTGCCGTAGCTTGGGTAATCCACGGACAGTTCGGGAGATTGTGGACATGGTGTCCCGTAAGCAACCCGACTTTGTATTTCTAATGGAGACTAAAGTGGCACGCGATCATGCAGAACGATTACGTGTTAAGATTGACTATGAGGGACTGTTTTATGTTGATAGCGATGGGTTAAGTGGTGGTATAGCATTACTGTGGAAAAAGAATAGTACGGCCCGACTAATCAGTTACTCAACGAACTATGTTGATGTTGGGGTAACTATTGCTGGCTTTCCTGAATGGCGGATGACGGGTTATTATGGTTTTTCTGAACGAACAAGACGCGCTGAGTCATGGGATCTTTTGAGAACACTCTCGGGCAGGTCGAATCTCCTGTGGGTTGTTATTGGTGATTTCAATGATTTGTTATATCAGAATGAGAAGAGAGGGGGAAATCCGCATCCGAATAGCCTCCTACGCGGTTTTGGGGAAGCTGTTGAGGACTGTGGGCTTGCCTAGTTGCCTATGGTTGGTTATCCGTACACATGGGAGAAGGGGAAGGGGACAGTCAATTGGATGGAGGAGAGGCTCGATAAAGTTCTAGTGACGGATGGGTGGCAGAGTATGGTGTTGGGGGCAAAAGTGATGAATCTGAGAACCCGGAAGTCTGATCACTCGACACTCTTTTTGGGGATTCAAGACTCCGCTGGGAGTGTTGGGCCTCGTAGGAGGGGTTTTCGTTTTGAGATGGCCTGGTTGCACGATGAGGGGTGCAGGAATGTGGTAGAGCAGTCCTGGCAGGAGGGGAGGGGCCAGGGGTTACAGAACTGTATTCAGTACTGTGGGACCCGGTTAACACGATGGGGTAGAGACCGGTATCATAAGTACGGAAAACGGATCAATGAACTGACAAAGGAGCAGCAGCGACTAAGGGGGCGTACGGACCCGGCCTCCCTTGCTGAGTTCCAGCGCCTAGAACAGCTGTTAAGCTGTACTGAAGCTCAGGAGGATGCCTACTAGAGGTAGAGAGCCAAACAACACTGGCTTAAGGAGGCAGATGCTAATACGAAGTTTTTCCACAGGTATGCCTCTCACCGAAAAAAGAAGAATACTATTTCTAGATTGATGAATGATAATGGGGATTGGGTTGAGGGGGATCCTATGAAAAATATTATATTGCAGTATTATAAGCGTATTTTCTCTGCTGGAACCCCGGGAACTGGGGAGGATTTCTTTGAGGGAATTGTCCCGCGAATCACGCAGGCACAGAATGAGTATTTGTTGCGTCCTTTTGAACTGGATGAGGTTAAGAGTGCACTGTTTGCGATGTTTTCGGACAAGGCACCAGGCCCGGATGGAATGAATCCAGACTTTTACCAACATTTTTGGGATGTGGTTGGGGGTGATGTGGCGAGCTTTATAATAAATTGTGTTGAGTCCTGTGATTTCCCGCCTGGGTTGACTGAGACTGATATTGTTTTAATCCCTAAGAAGAAAACCCCTGAGTACGTCACTGATTTGCGGCCTATAGCCCTCAGTAATGTGGTATATAGAGTTATGGCAAAAATGTTGGCTAACAGAATGAATCCGTTGATGGAAGGTGTAATATCGGAGTCACAAAGCGCATTTATCCCGGATAGGTTGATAACGGATAATATACTATTAGCTGCAGAGGTGGGGCATTTTTTAAACAGGAAACAATGTGGAGTGGGGGGATGGAGTGCTCTCAAGCTAGATATGGCAAAGGCATATGATCGGGTCGAATGGCCCTTCTTACGAAGGATGATGTTGGCGCTGGGATTTCATGGTGGTTGGGTGGAGTTGATTATGAAGTGTGTAACCTCTGTCTCATATAATATTCAGGTGAATGGTTTAAGATGTGAACCTATTATACCCACTCGTGGAATAAGGCAAGGGGATCCTTTGTCTCCGTATCTATTTATTATTTGTGCAGAGGGTCTATCTTTGTTGTTGTAGCGGGCACACAATGTGGGATTGATACATGGCTGCAGGGTATCAAGAGGAGCCCCCCGATTTCTCATTTATTTTTTGCAGATGATAGTCTACTGTTTTTAAGGCCAAGGTGGAGGAAGCAACTGAGATTAAAAGGTGCCTAACTGTGTATGAGAACCTATCCGGGCAGGCAGTAAATTATCATAAGTCGAGTATATGTTATAGCAGAAATACTAGTGATGAGGATAGACAAAGTGTGGCTCAGATTTTGGGTGTGGCACAGGCACCGAATTTTGGTAAGTATTTGGGACTCCCCTCTTTTATTGGAAGGCATAAGAAAGCAGCTTTTGCGTATGTGGAGGATAAAATCCGTCAAAGGATTGGGTCATGGAATAAAAAACTGCTATCACAGGCAGGGAAAGAAATTCTTTTGAAAACTGTAACACAATCAATGCCTACGTTTTCAATGAGTGTTTTCTTGTTACCTGTATCAGTATGTACGGCGATAGAAAGGACGATGAATCGTTACTGGTGGGATTCTGGAACTGACAGGCGAATACATTGGAAGGCATGGGATAAGTTATGTGTCCCGAAGAAATATGGTGGGCTGGGATTTAAAGATTTGCGTGCATTTAATCTAGCAATGCTAGGAAAGCAGGCGTGGCGAATGTTGACTAAGCCTGACTCTCTGGTGGCACGTGTGTATAAGGCCCGGTATTTTCCAAAAGGATCTTTCTTTGATGCACAGGTGGGAAATAATCCTAGTTTCTGCTGGCGCAGTATCATGGCAGCAAAGAGTATTATCTGTGGTGGGGTCAGACGCAGAATTGGTAATGGGGAATCTACATTCATATGGACCCACCCTTAGCTACGGAATGACCATGACCCAATGATACAAACAGAAATGTCAGTACAGTTAAGGGAGGCCAAGGTGGCAGGTTTGATAGACCAGCAAACTGGTGTCTGGGATCCCTCAATCTTAACTGATCTATTTCAACCTAATGATGTGGCGGAAATTATGAAAATACCCATCTCCCCGGAATATGATGATACTTGGTACTGGCATGGGGATCCAAGAGGGGAGTATTCTGTTAAAAGTGGATATAGGCAAGTAGTGGGAAATTATCAACAGACTAATGGGGTATTTGCAAAATGGTTATCCCTATGGAAGTTAAAAATCCCCCCAAAATGGAGAATGTTTCTATGGAGAGCCATTAGTGATATATTGCCTACTACTACAAACTTGCTTATAAAGAGGGTGGATGTGGATCCACGATGTGCCATGTGTGGATTATCTCAAGAAGACACAATGCATGCTTTGGTGTTATGTGATTTTGCAAGGAACATTTGAGATAAATCTAACCTCACAATTCCAAATATAATCACAAATATTTTTTATGTTTGGTTTGATGAACTTTTAAATGTTCTAGACTCTGATGGGATATTCTATGCAGTAGCAATACTTTACAATATTTGGAGAGCACGGAACAGGGCCGTTTGGGAAGCAACGTTACCACGGCCGGAAGTGGTCCTCAAAATGGCCGCTGCTGCCAAGCTGGCATGGACTCGGGCGCACCCACAGCTCACGGCCCCGCCCACCACGCTGCTAGCCACGCCAAACCCACTGCAAGGAAACGCCAATCTCCTTGCGCCGAATCCCCTCGCTGCCGAGCCACCTGGACCGCCAAGGCACGTATGCCGTGTGGATGGAGGGTATTTGCAGGAGACAAGACAGGCGGCTTTGGGGGTACTCTTACTAAATATGGACGGGGGATATGTTTCGGCATTCAGTGGACCACTTCAAGGATGCTCCTCGCCACTTATGGCAGAGGCGCTCGCATGTAAAGAAGCTTTATCATGGTTGAAGGATCGGGGTGAGCAAAACGTTGAGGTTTATACGGACTGCCTCACACTACATCGTTATCTTACTACACCAACTACTGTGCTGCGCACATATCTAGGCTATGCCATTGACACTTGCAGGCTTATTGCATCTTCGTTTCAGTCTTGTTCGTTTCATTTTATTCATAGAGTAGAGAACCATTTAGCTCATGCTTTAGCTACTACGGCTTATCAGCAAACTGCAACTATGTATTGGGATCTACTCCCACCAGATGTTATTTCGGCCTACTTTTAATGAAGCATCGGAAAATTATCAAAAAATGTTAAAACCGCTTGAAATATGACACTATTTATTGGTCGTTCTTTCGCATCGTCACGGTGTATGATACACCTCAATGCACCGGAAACTTCCATAAAATCCATAAACCTCGCCCAAATCTCCTGGATCGATACCGCGCGTTGAGCAGAACTGTAGAAGGGTGATCAAAGCTAGGGTTCAACAGCACACTCTATTTCTCTTTCGGCTTCAGATTTTCCCTCTACAGTTCCCGTCTGTGTATAATACATATATAAATATGTATGTTTTCTAGACTTGGAGGCGATTTAGTAATTCATAAATATGTATGAATTGATGATTTAGTTTTAGTAATTGTTTGATAGAGTTGGATGCGGATGGAGACGGGAGAACCGAAGAACTACGTACTCTAGGAATTATTGAATTAAGAATTGGCGAAGGATTATTGAATTGTTGGATTTCTCCCCTTCTGCGTACTCTTACAGGGCGTTTGGTTGGAGAGAGGGAATTATGTGGGAAAGGATTTGTAATTCCATGGGAGATGAATTACTGGAAATAAAGTGGGAATTTAAATTCCAATGTTTGGTTGACAGGAATAAAATTACTGGAAATTTCAATTCCAATGTTTGGTATACATGAGAATTGAAAGGGAATAAGTAGTATAAAGTCCAAAATATTCATTGTTGTTGTCAAACATTAATTTTAGGTTAAATAAGGGAGGGGTAATTTTGACTCATCACAATCTTTTTTTTTCTTCCTAAAATCCCAGGAATTAAAATACCGAGGGGGGGGGACATGGGATTTTAATTCCATGAAAATGGGGGAATTGCAATTCCTTTCAACCAAACAAGGGAATTTTGTGGCATTTGGAATTAAGTGGGAAGGGAATTTAAAATCCTTTCAACCAAACGCCCTGTTAGTCTTAGATAGTCAGATCTAGACATTGCCTAAGAATTAAGATATTATATATATGTTTTTTAAAAAAATATTATATAAATAATTTATTTATTTATTTTTTAAATATGGTCTGGCCCGCGGGCCGACCCGCAACCCGCACGGGCTCTGGCCCTCCGCGGGCCATGCCCGTTAGGCCCGCATTTTCGCTAGCCTAATTTCTTGCGGCCCTAACTCGCCCCATCGCGGGGCGGGTGCAGGCTAACCCGCGGACTTCGATCCACTTTGACACCCCTAATTAAAAATGACAACTCATCATCCACATAAGCAGACAACCTGATAAAATGTGTGGTAACCTACTATCTGGTGAAATTGCATACATTTGCGGTGTTCAATGGCCTAATTGCATTTTTTTTTTTTCGTTCAGTGGTCAAATTGCATTTTCAGGTTACGCTCAATGGACAATTTGGACCTTATTCCTAAAAAAAAGTGAAAGCTATTATTTTTTGAATTTCCACCCTAAAAGAATATATGAATGTCACACTATAATTATTTTAAGAATACATTGTCTTCTCTTTACTTAAATCAAACCTTATTTGTTGTAGCAAAAAAATTAATTTTCTATTCCAAATCTATATTGCTTTCATTAAAATGTACATTTTGTTACAAGCTGATCTACTATGTATGAGACTAAATTTTTGTCTATTTTAAAAATCTAAATGCAAAAAATTCATTACTTAATCAATAGAGGTAATTCCACCAGAAAACTCTTGTTTTTGGTGACAATTCGAAATTTAGTCCCAGACTATCATTTTTATCATTTAAGTATTTTTTTTTAATGCTACTGGCTCTATTACATTGTAGTATCTGTTCATATACTTTCTCAACCTACTGAAACACAAAGAACCAATAACGCCTCCACTGAGGCTCGAACTCACAACCTTCCAAATGGAAGTCCAACCCGGGTATCATTTAAGTATTTAACATCCTATACTATTTTTTTTGGACACTTTTTGTCCTTATCATGACTTTTTCTATTTTTAGTAAGTGCATTTTTTCTCTTCATATTTTTCTTTTGTTATTTTTCCAATTTCAATCGTTTTAATTGGTTTAGGACTTTACTAAAAGCCAGTTGAAAAATATGATTACTGAAAATTAGAGGTTACCTAAAGTTCTAAATCAATTAAACTAGTTGAAACCAGAAAAATAACAAAATAAAAATATGAAAAGACAAAAAATGTCCTTACTAAAAATAGGAAAAGTTATGAGAAGGACTAAAAATGTCCAAAAAATAATAGTCTAGGATGTTAAATGGTAAAAATGATAGTATGAGATTAAATTTGCACCGATTATGTTTTCTGATGTTATCAATGCTTGAATTCAAGTAAATAATTTCTCAATTAATAGCTAACGTGTAGATATACACATTCGTTTCTGTAACGGTAGAGATTTTATATATCAGTGTTTATAATTTGTATTAATTGGGCTAATTAATTCGTTGTCTAGCAACTCAGTTATAGAAATTATTTATATGGAAGTTATATTTTCTATGTAGATATATAGCAATTTTGTCATCTTTGTATATTAAAAAACATAATATCAATGGCTTGAATTATACATTATTGAAAATCTCTTTGTAGACGATATTGGTAGTAACGTGATTTTATTCATCCCCGTCTAGAGTTAAAACAATCAGACCATCAGGATGGGTGACTCGGGAAAAAGTCACATACAATTAACCGTGATTAAAGACTGATTTTTTCGTTAATAACTCAATGTAAATCATTGTTCACACTTTGAATTATTTATTTTTTTCTTTACCTATTATAAACAGAAATTACGATATTTACCAAATTGTATTTTTTTTTTTAAAATATAACATTTACACATGTTATGAGGGGTTAAAAAATATTTTTTTAATATTTTTTATTAATATGTATTTTTATTTTAAAATATTTTCCAGCAATCCAAACACTACCTTAGCTTCCCATAAAAAACTGATAAAGAAAAGTCACTTCATTAAGAAAATTAAAACTAATTAAAGTAAATCTAATCATGCTATATTTAATTGTAACTGTATATTGATTTCATTTTGAAATTATTGGTTCACATATTTAATTTTTTTAATTATTATAATTTATAAACAGGAAGGATATTGTACTAATTAATTTATGATAAAGAAAAGTCATATCATTAAGGGGTAAAATTGTACTATACACATGTTATGAGGGGTTAAAAAATATTTTAAAATTATTTTTTATTAGTAAGTATTTAAAAAAATAATAATTTCCAGCAACCCAAACACTCACTTAGTCTCCCATCAAAAAATTGATAAAGAAAAGTCATATCGTTAAGGGTATTAAAACTAATTAAAGTAAATGTAATCATGCTATATTTATTTGTAACTGTACATTAGTTTCATTTTGAAATTATTGGTTCACATAGTTGAATTATTTATTTATTTTATTTAATTATTATAAACATAAATGATATTTTACTAATTAATTTATGATATTTATCAAATTGTATTTTTTAAATATAGTGCTTTATCCATGCATTGCACGGAATTTTATTTTTGTTATTGTGAATTTAAAATAAAAAAAAATTAAAAAGATGTTAAAATGTATAATATAATAATATAGTTGGACTTTTATATATTTAGTCAAGTATCTATTTTCATAACATACAAAAATAAAATTTAAATTTTGTATGGTTAATATAATCTCTAATCATGTATATATTTAGATAAATTTATAAAAAAAAATTATATAATTAAGTTGATTTATTTCAAATTGTATTAATATGTATATAAGAAAATCCTATAATATAATTTCATTAATTATAATTTATATTGATAGATTTATACTTAAAAAATTATATTTAGAAATTTAAAGAGTATATATATGTATATTTAAAAATATTATAAATATTCATGTTTTGTTAAATTTATAATTTCATTTCTTTAATTATATTTCATATTTTATTAATTATAATTTAATGAAATTGTCACAAATATTTCTATGGAAGAAATCATATATTTCTCAATTTCATTAATTATATTAATTATAATTACCAAATTTTGTGGCAATTATCACAATAATTTCATTAATTATAACATTTATTTTCTTCCAATATTTAAATACATTACCATAAAATTGCCATAATAATAACACAAAAGAAAGAAAAAAAAAATTATGAGAATAATCTATATCTATATATAATTAAAAGTAAAATCCTCCTAACCAAGTTTATCCCCAAAACTTAGGGGCATATATATATATATATATATATATATATATATATATATATATATATATATATATATATATATATATATATATATATATATATATTGCATATTTACCATATATGCATATTTTGTGTTTATATAGTATAATTTTTGGTATCAAACATTTGAATGGTAATAAATGGGGGAAAATGTCAACATACAAATGATAATTCTTTCATTACTATACTAATTTTTATGGTAATTCATTAATTACTATATTTCATGATGAGTCAGTGTGTTCATGCCCATCATTTTTCAAAAAACATAGAAATGAAATAGCCAATTATTAAAATTGTTTATGATTTCGTTTTTAATTTTGTCTAAAGTTATAGATATATATTTTCGGCGATTATAACATTTTTTGTATTAACTGAAAATTTGAAAGTTTTACCTTTTTTGAGATCTCTTACCATTTTATAATTTTAATATTGTGCCATTTTGAACTATCCATGGTGTATAAATAGATGAGAATTCAAAATCAATTCAGTTACTGGTAGATAGGATTACAGGAGTGTATATCAAAGTCTACCTCTAAACTCTCCTATCTACTAGGCTATTACATTAGACTTAATCTAACACCACATATTAACTACCATAGGCTATAATAATAATAACAATAATTATTAATAACACTCACACACCCCCTCAAGCGGAAGGGTGAGAAACAACATGAAGCTTGTCTCGTAATGCAGTGAACCTCGGACCTGTAAGCGGTTTGGTGAAGATATCGGCTAGCTGATCCTTGGTTGATATAAAGTTGACCTTGAAGTCCCCTGTTGCAACCTTGTCACGTACAAAATGATAGTCGATCTCCACG